TTGGGGGGCTTGCCATCCGACGGGGGGTACCTCGTCCACTTGTCTTGGATGAAGGGTGGCTCCTTGGTGATATGCGGGGGGGCCTACACAGGTTGGCTTATGGCGGGAATTGCACTCTTATGGGTGGAAGTGCGCTCTAACTCTTCTAGATGTTGCCAGAGCTCTTTAATTTCAGCATCTTTGTTGTTTGGGCTTGCAGTGTGTATGGCCTCCCTTTTGGGTCGTGTGGGGTGATCCTTGACCGAGCTTGACTTAGCGACTAAGACTATGAAGGGCGATGTCCTTTTGTCAAGCCTTTCTTTGGCGAGGATGTGCGCTGACTGGTATGTCTGGTTATGGTAGTCTCGTCCTCGGGAACAGGTAGTGGCGGCGGGCCTTCGGGTCGTGTCTTGCCTCATACGCTTGGACCGCTCTCCCCTTGCATCTGACCGGTGTGCTTTGGGGTCCTCGGTCTGAGGATCGTCCTTCGTGCACGTTGGGGCATGAGGGGGGTCAGCCCGGTTGGGTGGCGCGGCAGACCCTAGTGTTTGCATGAATTCGAAGATCTTATCAACCTTTCCCTGCATGGATCAGAATTGCGCTGGATCTACTACGACCGAAGGTTGCGAGACTTCTTGGTTCTCCCGAGATGGGGAATGGAGAGTTGCTCGTTTAAATTGGTTTTTAGGCATCTTAATTGCTTCCTTGATTGCGCAGCGAGGAATGAGATTTTCGGGAAAGGTTTTCTGTGCCGCTCCCATAGATGGTGCCAATCTAATGCTGCTTAATTCGAGGTGGTGCACAAACTGAGGAGAGCAACCAGATAGTCCTTGCTGGCAGGGCGGGGCCGAGCTACAAGGACGAGGCCGCACTTCAAGACCTATGATCAAGGAAACATAAGTCAAAGACCTGAAGAGTTATCCCCAGGTAAGAACTCCGACACTCAAGTCAGTAGGAGGTGGTAGGATGGTCGGGCCGAGCTATAAGGATGCCGGTATGAGCTAAGTAGCGGTGTAGGTCTCAGAAGTTGGATGCCTTACCTTGAGCATGGAGTACCTTTTTATAGCTGAAGATCCGTGTCCTGGTCGGACTGGGCTTTTGGGGTTGTCGGGATGAAGTTAACCGCTTAGGTATTCAGGATAGAGTCCCATTCCCCAGCAGAGTCGTCTTCCTTACTCTTTATCCGTAGTTGTGCTCATCCATATGACGTGTAGTTGACGTGGCTGGAAGGATAAGATGGGGTGCCACAGTAATAGCGTAGCTTGGCCGAGCTAGCCCAACATAGCCGGGCTAGGCCGACGTGGTTGGGGTAGGCTGACTTGGCCAAGTTAGGATGATGTGGCAGGGTGATAGTTGGGCAGCCATGTGTCTTGTAGGGCCAGCTCAGCCATGACCCAAACAGTGTGCCCAATCCAGTTTTTCTCCATCTGCAAGGAATGGAAAATAGAGGAAATCTCAAAGAAGAAAGGGGAGGAGAAAACGGGAAAGGGGAAGAAGAGAGATAGGGGGAGAGAGAGGGAGGACTTCAATGGAAGTCCGTTGCCACTACTATTCGTGTATCGTGAGGTCGGGGAAGATGAACAACATTTTTCTTCCAATTGTTCGAATAATTATTACAAGGGTAATATAGGGGTTAAAAAATATTATAACGGTGGACTTCAATAGAAGGCTAACATAAGGGAATCTTTGTCTTACAGTCATAGTACAGGGGGGTCTTTGTCGCAAAACAAAGTACAGAGGGGTCTTTGTCACATACCTCATAGTATAGGGGGTCTTTGTAATTTACCCTTATTTTTTTTTGATAAACTAAATGGTTAATATAAAATTTGTTAGAATGGTAATCAATCCAATATAAAATTTGTAGGACTGTTAATAGATTTTCTGGGAAACAGATCTGAGCTTCAAACAGACCCAAAAACTTTGCCCAAAGGATTCGAGCAACTCTATAGTGGAACAATAGGTGATCTGAATCTTCTTCAGAAGCTTCCCTACGCATCATGCACTTGTTAGGCAACACACTCAGCCCTCTCCTAGCCAAAACCTCTTCTGTCAAACACTTGCCCAGTACTGCCACCCATACTAAAAAAGTAGCTTTTGGAAGGGCTGCTGTATTTCTCACTACTACAACTTCTTGGAAACCCACCACTCTGATTTTGTGAGCTTATAGAAGGGTCTCACTGAAAATTCCTGCTTTATCCCACTTCCAAATTTTCTTATCCATACATTTAGATTCCTTCTAAACACTGGACACCAAACTGTTGTATCTCCTACCCAAGGGAAAGAAAGCGTCAACAATCAAGCTGTTTTTACTTCGAGCAATCTCATAGATGTTAGGGTAACTTTGATTAAGAGGATGATCTCCACACCTAGTATTAGGGTCCATTTGATTCACAGTTGGAATCAGAATCGGAATCAGAATCGAAATCCTCTGGATTTGGAATCAGAATGGTCCATTTCTATAATCTGTTTGGTTCAGATCGAAATGGGAATGAGAATTAAAATAAGAAGGAATTAGATTTCATTCCCAAGAGAGGGGCAGGGAATGATCATTCCCTCAAATGGGGGAATGCCATTTCAATCGAAATGGGAATGGGATTCCGATTCTATCCAACCAAACAGTTGGAATCGGAATAGCCTGATTCCAGACCCCTATTCCCGCGAACCAAATGAGGCCTTAGTCTAGAATTTGGTGAGACTACAAAACCATCCAACTTTTCCAGAATGGGTTGATCTTGATTGTTTGACTAAGTGTATCTTGCCCAAAAAAGTGATAAACCACAAACTCCCATCAACTCATGAACTGAGCAAAGCCTCTTCTCATGTAAGAACCTAATCGTGTTGAAATCCCCTCCAATCACCCAAGAAAATCCCCCAACACTCTTTTACCTTCCCCATTTTCTATTGGCCCATAAACTCCAGTCAAAGATTTTGCCAAGACCGAATAGAATGTGACAGTTGAGGCTGGAACTATTACTTTGATGTAATAATGAAATGAGAGAGAGAGAGAGGTTATCCCTATTCCTTTCTAATCTCGTAAAGTGCATTGGTCTTGCTGTCTGGTTTAGTCACCAACAGGCCTGTTTGTATTTGTTTTTTTCCCCTGTTTTTTCTTGTTTTTCTTCTGGCATCTCATTACCAAAAGGTAAAGATGAACTTTTGACTTTAGGATCTATTGGATTATTTTTTGTGTATATTCCATTTCCTGTTCACTACAGCTGTACAAGGAGATCAATTCTCTTTCTGTACAAAATTTGACTACATAGAGAAAGAAGGGATACCGTCATATCCCTGTGACCATGTCATACCCACCTTAGTAATACCCACTTTTGTAGTATCTACAAAACTCCTGAACTCAAGTTGATTCCTGGAAAAGAACCATAAAGTTGCCAAGTTTCTACTATGTGATGGATGCATCATCATCTAAGCCTTGTCTCAATTATAGAGGTTGGCCGCATCAATCCTGTATTGTCATTCCATTCTATTCAGTACCATATCCATCGTTATATGTTTGGGGCATTTAAATCATTTCTTTTTACTTTCCACACAGGTCCTTTTCGATCTGGTACATGTATCCTGTTTTTCCAATTTATTCAAATTATTTTGCCACTGGATTTGGTTCAATCCGATCCAGTCCAATGTGAGTCCATTATAAATGGACCAGGTCCAATCCAATTTAATAAATATTTTGGTTTGGACCAGTCCTATTCAATGTCTGAACCGTCCAATCTGTTCAAAATTGTTTTGATTTAGACTGGTTTCAACCCAAACCTGATCCATTGACACCTATATTCTTACCTTATATCAATGGACCAGATATTGATTTAGTCCAGCCCAATCAAATATAAATTTATTATGAATGGACCAGGTCCAATCCAATATCTCTTGTTGGCCCGTCCAATCTGTCCAAATTGATTTTGGACTGGACAGATTGTCCTATTCGATTTTGGGATTTTGAAAGGGGAATTCCATTGACCAATGTATCTATGTTCTTATTTTAGAAACATGTGGGACTCACTTCTCAGATTAGGGTAAGTTGAATCTCCGAAGTAGATGAATGAAAAAAAAAATTAAAATGGTAAAATATTCCTTCACAAGATACGTTTTCCCAAATAAATTAAAAAAGAACGAGTAATTGCACTTACCCAAAAAAGTAGGTTCTTCAAAATCGAACAGGGCCTTATAGAATTAGTTTTCTGCCTTCTCTAAGGTCTACAGTCCACAGGGAAATTTAACAAAAATGGAACAGGTCAGGGCACTTCTAAAGTTTGGTAAGATGATCCTTATAACTATAATTGGATCTCCTACTAGGGGTGGATTCGAGCCGAGCCGAGCTGAATAGTACAAAGCTTGAGCTCGGCTCACCACTATTGTACAAGACTCAAGCTCGAGTAAAAAACTCATAAGCTTGATCTCGGCTCGCGAGCCTCACGAGCCGAGCTCTATTAAGCTCGAACAGCTCGTAAATAGCTCGGCTCATGGCCACCCCTATCTCCTACTCACAAACTGTTCTCACATCCATAAGACACTACAATTTGACTCATAATGCACTCATGCCTCAAACTGAGGTGGTCAAGCACCCTCGTTAACTAGAGTTCACATCTGTGCCCCGCAACATCCCACAGCACATCCCTGCTGTGTATTGAGAACATCTCCCAATGATAATACCAGAACTGATGATATCATCACCAAAAGATGTTCCCAATACACGGTGGGGATGTATTGTGGGACGTTGTGGGGCGCAGATCTTAACTCCATTAACTATTCTTTGATTTTAATTTCACCGAGGGCCCTTCAGTATCCTAAAGAATAGTTAATGGTTATATTGCTTTTTTTTAATTAACCTTCATTAAGTCGAATTAAAATCAAAGAATCTAAGCATAACCAAGCAATCTGATAACATGGTATGTTATGGTGTAAAATGACTTGTCCCACTGGACATGGAAGCCCCGAGTACTGTGGGCAGAAACTTGTCATTCATCAAACCAATTGTGTGTGATGTGAATGGACCACCAATGGATAAGTGGATAATAGCTTGTTTGCTCTAAATCTAAATGATCATCATGTAATACACCATAACCCAATCACAAAGTCAGAGAAGGTTGATGGGAGAAATGAAATTCACCAATAATCAGGTTGGTTCATCATCATCATCATCATCATCATCCAAGCTATACCCAACCATATGGATCAGCTACATGCAACAAATGAATCATGTTTGGGGGTCCTTCATGAAGCGCACACTCCTGAGGTAAATCAGCAGTGCTAACAGTCATCTGCTAAATCAATTCTGCTCCTAGAATAGAAATTCAAGCATCCTGATTCCTCTTATTTTTCTTCAATGAACTGTCCTGGTATCTCCTTTTAGACAAATCTAAAAAGGAAACATGGCAGCAAGGAGAACAATACTACATTGTAAACAGTGGCCAAAGAAACCTATTTCTAGATTTTACAGTTTTGATCTTCAACAGGGATAGTACAACTAGTTTGCACTTGAAAGTTGGCACTAACATGGCAGCCATGGGTCTGACACCTGATCTGGAGAGGACAAAATTATACAAATCACTCATTTGTACACAAAACAATAACTACTACTATCTATGAGAGCCAATTCTTAAAGCATTTCTTCATCAACATATACTTAACAAACAATGAGTAAATTCTACAAACTAGAGAAACCTTACAAGTATCCACCGAAGATAAATATCTAGATGGTTAATGAAATGATTCTCAACCCTTGCTGATAACTCTACCAAGTGCTTGTTTGACCATTCCTGCTGATGCAACTGCTGCTCCTCTAAACTGCAACCAAGTTTGTAAAGTCAACATTTTCATGAAAAGAGTGTTTGTGTTGGATTATATGAAAACAAAAATTGCAATCTCCTTTCAAGGATGTGGAAGTCCATACCTTAGATTTAAGTGTTACACTGAGTATCCCATCAACAGTGGATGATTGAACAGTGTGTGCATCTAAATGGAGATTGCTTACTGCATCCATGATATCAAGGAACAAACAATCCCTCCAAGGACACCGTATCTCAATTAAAACTTCCTTACCAATCATACTGACAGTCACATCTGCTGCTAAGCAATCAGTAGATAAAACCTGATTGAGCTCTGGTTCACTTTCATCAATATCAGAAGCCTTCCTCTTGTTTATGGAAGGCTTCTTGCCATTAGAAATGTCATTGTTGCCATAGTTGTCAGATGTTCTTTCTACCATATCTGGATGCTTTCTTCTTGTTCTTGCTTCAAACTCTGGTAACTCCTTGCAAGATTCCAACTCTTCAATCCTTCTCTCAAGATCTTTCAGGTACTCTATGGTATCAGCAAGTATAGATGCTTTGTCAACCTGCATAAATATGTGAAATAAGATGCTTAATGATTAGGCTCTGCTTAATAATCTAGAACCTCCATTTATGCCATGAGTACATCATCTAAAGCAACAACTAAATGAAAATTCAATTACCTTGCTAATAGAAGGAACCAGTGACCTCAGGATCAAAAACTTCTCATTCATTTTTTCCCTTCTCTTCCTCTCTGACAAGACATGGTTCATACCAACATAATCCCCTTCGAGTCTGCAAATACCGACTTTACCAGTAATTTCCTCCCGGGACTTGAGTGAACTACCACCATGCAATAAAGCAACTTCAAACAAAATCGTCTTTAAAATCTTTTGAGGTGTTCCAATCTTCACCTTCTGTGCATCTATAAATCCTCCTTTCACCCAACTCTTGAAGCTGGACTCGTGATTGCCACCGTGGAAGCTGTTTGGTGATACATTCAAAGGGTGCGAGTTCTTAAAAATGGCAGAAAGAGTTCTAGTGTAGTGCAAGTCATCAGTTCCAAGATCCAAGGAACGAAGTTTAGTGTGATTACATTCCTGAAGGTCTTGAAGCTGAAGATTATTTGTTCTTTCACCCTTTGGAGAAGACACAACTTTCTGAGGATTTACAAAGGTTTGAGATATGCTGTCACTTAAATTTATGGAACCATGCATGCAATTGCTGAACTCATCATCCATAGCCTGCCATCTGTGGGCACGAGAAGTACCAGCATTTACACCCTCAAGCATGAAGGATTCCTCAGTTGGTTGATTGGCCTTGTACTCATTTGAACTGTCATCAGGTGATCCTGACTTTACGCCAACTAATTCTTCAACCCCATCCTGCTCAAACTCAATTTCTTCCTTAGGCATGTTTGGAGAGGAAGGTGGCAATGCTTCTTGAGGTGCTATCTCTGGTTGCACCTCACATTCTGATACTGGGTTAAGTTTATCCAAAGCCATGGAATCAACTACCTCATGTTTGACTGTAGGGTTCTCCTCATTGTCAGCATTCTGTGGGCTGGAAGTTGATTGCTCAGAACAAATGGGCTTTGGGAACTCCAGACATGAAGTTTTCACATGTTGAATAAGGCTTGGGTCCTCCAATACCTTACGACAGCAAAATACAATAGAATAATTGCCTATCTTATGGACACAATTAACTGTAGGCTAATGCTATGCAACTAATTGAAATGGAAGACATATAAAAATTACCAGCTCGGTCACTCCCAACTCAACCACGCCACCCAAAAATGGAAAGCATATTACAGTCTACAAAATGAAAACAAGACGGATTATCAATGATGCAGTTATCAACAAAATGATTAAAGGAAATAGAGGAAAGAAACCCAATAGTTACTAGAACAAATAAAAGGATGGACAAGAAAAGGTGTCTGGTGACTCTGGTCAGAAGATAAATCTGGTCCAATTGGGTTAACCTGATGAAATCAGAATATGTCTCTTGGATTGTTCCCCTTCTAAACAAGATTTGAGAATAAATCAAGAACCATGACCAGTGAAATTGGAAGTTAATTCCTTGTTTCCCCTTGAAAGTTGAAACTGCAATATCACTACTTACTCTAAGGTATTTTCTTGAATTTTTGCACCTTAATGGGTTAAATTGACTAATTTATCAAATTGTTAACTTTAGGTATGAGTCAGTACATGATCTTAAACTTCTGGAAAGTACTAACAAGGCCTCCACCTTGATTGGGTTCAGTTCTTTGTACCTGCATGCAGTGATGCAATGCCTCTTTCTTCACATTACAATATCTTTAGTGAACAGGGTCTCTTGCAACTCGTATATTCGTTATTCTCATAATCTTTCATTTTCTCCTCTTCCACCTCTCTTTTATTCTAATGTGATATTTCTTTCTAAACAGCCTAGTTGGTAACAGAGAAAGAACAGAAGAGCATAGGCCATTCTCTCTTTTAATCACAACAATCCTAGAGCACTGCTGACATCTTAGCCAGAAAACTTGTTATGTTTTTATGGTATTCCTCAATTTAATAAAATCAAGTATTTTTCTCCATATTTGTTTTTCTAGAAAACTCCAGAAACTATGTTCTTTTTTCGATTGAAATGTGTTCACTAGCAACTTTTAGGTGCATGGGATTTGCAGTATTTAATCTTGCCTTTTCTGGACCTAACAAATCCTATTTCCATTAGCAACTTTTTGGGGTGCCTGCAGTTATTGGTCAAAACAAATCCAAAATCTTCTTGAACATCAGCAATGCCGTTCAATATAAGGTTGAATCTTGGCAGGGGATGCTATTGTCAGCTGCCAGAAGAGAAACCCTTATCAAAGCCTTGGCTAGTAAATCTCCAATTTTCTATATGATGCATTTTCAGCTTCTAGATAATCTTTGTAAAAAGCTTAATGGGATGGATGATGACATTTTATTTGGGGGCAGAAAAAAATGATGAGAAAATCCATTGGGTTGCTTGGAAAAAGCTGTGCTGGTCCAAATCTCTGGGGGCTTGGGCATCAAAACCTTCCACCTTTTCAACAAAGCCATGCTAGCAAAATCTGCGTGGAATTTGGCTAAACCAAGAAGCTATGTGAGCAAAGGTAATAGTAGAAAACTGCTGAATCAAAAAATCTGTAAAGAAAAGAGATGTTTCTTGAGGAAGAAGAGAAAGAGAAGAGAAGAGATTGAGAAAGAAAGAGAGCAAATCAGTTCTGGACGCCCTCCTCACTAGTATTTATACTTTTAACGAAAAAGGTACAATGACTAATATGCCCTTATATGGCGGCTAACACATAAAACTGTATAAATAACTTAAAAGAACCACTCAAAAGGGACCCAACAAGTGTGTTGGGGTCCCCACTTCCTACCTAAACAAATAATAAACAAAAACAACTACTAAATCTGCACAAAATACCATTATAGTATTGAAGAACTAGCTGCTTTTATAACTTGAGGTTCCAAAGTTCAAAATAAAAGAGATAAGAAAACAGCTCGACTTCATAAAATATACAAAATAATCATGTTATTTACAATTTCATATTGAGATCTATCCATTTTATGAGTCCTACATATCTTGTTCCTAACAAAGAGATTATTATGAGTAAAATACTAACACTATGGCCTAAAAATGAATTGAGTAAAATACTAACACTATGGCCTAAAAATGAATTACTTTTTCTTATAACCTACATGAATAAAAACTCCTAAACCAACTAAGAAAAATAACTCCTATAATCTAAGTTCAGAGATTTATGGTAAAATAAACTTTACCAAAGATTATGCTGACAAGGTCTACGAATAGTGCAGCACTGATCTTTTATAAATAGTAAAAAGAGAAACAAATTTTACTCTGAAAAGAAAATTCATTTATTGATTTTGTTTGTATCATGCTGCTGGAGTAAGCATATTTTCACTTGTATATATGAGGGGGAAATTACCATGTCAAACTTGAACCTACCTGCCAATTGAATGACACAAGAAAAACCTGATCTATGTATTTTTCCTGATTTTCCTTTTCCCTCTCATTCCCATGAGAAAACTTTGGCTGTGCATGTTCAACGTCCTGTGTTGTCCACAGACTCTCTCCATGTGACATGTTAGTCCATGGAGCCATGCATTCAGCACCATTACTCTTAAATAGAGTTCACATGGACTAATGTGTCACATAGGGAGAGGTTGGAGAGCCCCGTGGACAGCACAGGTTCTCTAATGTAGACAGACAATTTTTTTCCCTTTGCCACCAAGTTTTGCTTTTCCAGCTCCTATCAGACCTGATTTCTGTAATCATGCCCCGATTTTCATATAATTTAACAATATCCAATTTTTGAGCAGTCATGAAATTCCTTCAGATTCTTCTCTAAAGTAGTTGGTTTCTATCCAACCCTTCCAAATCATCCAATTCACTGTGGATGTTAAAGATCTGGGTAGCACAAACAGATACAGGCATGTATAAACACCTTCCAACAACTTATTCTAGTGCTATGCTGTGCAAGATAGATCAGCGTACCTGGATTGATGCGCTCTAAGGGCATTGATATGTACAAGTGCAGAAAGTGAGCAGAAAACATAAACAGAGGAAAAGAGAAGTCAGCATGTTAAACTCTTTCCAATAGATATTTTACATGAATTGAAATTTATATTGTATCTAATACAAAGGAAAACCAACCTTTGCTAGCAGAGAGCGAGAAAATACTTTGCTGTCAGCATAATGAGCATTACATAACCAGATCGGTTGACCATTTGCTAGTGCTCTTCCTGGCAACCTGCACGCCAATGTGGAAGAGAAATAACCTATAGTAACATACTTTTAACCATACACCCAAACAAAGGTTACAACGGTCTTAATAGATGTAAATGTTAGTCCAAGTGTCAAACACCTAATAAAGGGAAAACCTTGGCATCATTCCAAATAAATTCAGTAATGTCAAAAAATGGGAACCAACACATTTTATGAACAATTATGCATGAAACAACTGCAAAAATCAATTTGAATGGTCAAGCTCAATTGATTTCTTAATGCATCCCTAATTTGACGAAATCATGTGGAGTTCTCCTGGACCAGTAATACAATAAGTAATTATCAATTGTATTGTCAGTCTTTTGCAATGGAATCCTGAAGCATTTTAACTATAGAACATAAGGCACAAAATACCAGAACAAGCACTATCAAGGAAGGACCAAGTTAGAGTCATGGAGAAGGAGCCCAGCTGGCTCGGCTAGTGAAGTCAGTGGAAGTTAGTTCCCACTAACATGGAACCAAATCCCACCTTTCACCCTTCCAGCCTCCAAGGTTTGCCTAGCAAAAAGGAAAGACAAAGAAGAAGAAACAAGTTGAAGTAATGGAAAAGATACGAGTACCCCTGTCCAGGACTGAATATGAAGGACATGCAAACCAAATAATACCACTCTGCATCTGTGAGATCTTCAGGAGATAATGATGCTGAAGGTCTCCTAGCCTGCTGGATAGTGTCACCCGCTGAAAGCGACTCATATAACTCTCTCAATTGCTCACTCCTTCGCAAACCCATTTGGTCAGCATTAAGCTCCATGTGTTGTATTGTCTTCCTTGTCTTAATGTTTCCATTATAGTACCCATCTCCCCACTCGAGCACCCTACAACCATTACATTCACCCAGAAGGAAGAAATAAACAATTTAGAGATAAGGCATGTAAACAAAATCATAGTACAAGCAATATAAACACAGAAGTTGCACCAATAAATACTGTGAGAGAGGTGTAGTCAATCAAAAGGCTATACCTTATATGCATGGGGCTTAAATATATTATGAACTAAAAACAGTTTTATTAAAGCAAAACCAAGAAGAAAGAAAAGTCTGAGCAGCAGAGTTATCAGCAATCTGAAGCCATTATTTCCAAGATAAAAATGAGCTCCTAGTAATCCAGATTCTTCTTTTTTTCTTTTCCAACTAAATTTGCTAAGCACCATCCGTTACTTGCCAAGGAATACATACACATAAGAAAAAAAAAACGTGCATTCCAAGTAATAACTAGTGCATTTTCAAACATCCAGGCATGGTACACCAAATCCCACTCAACGAAAGCCATCCGTGGCTCTACCTCATCGGTTTAAGCAAATAACCCAATAAATTTGAGACCGAATCCATCAATTTACCACATAGTAACTACATTATACAATATATGTTGCAAATAGACAGCAATTTACCAGGAGAAACCTGAAGCAGATCTAAGAGAAGGAAGAAAACAACTTGGAGATATCTTTTTTTTCATGTGGATCGAACATATTTTCATGGAAAACAATATAAATGCAACTATTTTATATCTATGTTCTTTCTGAAAGTCAAAACAGAGTTGCAGACCCAGTTGCAGAAAACTTAGAAAAATATAACAGGAAAAACAAAAGATACTCAACTGAACTCGGTCTTAATCCCAACTATTTGGGTCCGCTAAACAGGAAAAGATATAAGATGAAATATATAAATATTCTTACCCTTGTTGTCTAGTTGAGATAGACCAGAAGATCGCGTAACTCCATTGGATGCTTCTAACAGCAAACGCAAGTTGTTTGCTTAGGTGGTTTTCTGGCACCCCCTCCTGATTTTGGAGCCCAGCACCCATGGCCCAACACATAACAGTGAACTTCACTTATAGAAAGAGCCTCGCCACTTCACTTATAGAAAGGAAGGGTTCTTGCTTTGCAACCTGATTCTTCATTCCCTAAAACCAGCAGCAGAAAAACATGGATTTTTGTCAGAAAATCCTATCAAGTGATTATTACAAGCATACTTCTGACACAAAGTTATGGTATTACACCGGGGCTTTTTTAACCTAAAAGCAGGAACCCAGATGCAGTTGCAGTCTTACCAGGAGATATGCAAGAACCAGTGGTTTCTGCAAAGAGTTACTGGTTATGTAAGAGAGAAACTGTAACTAAAAACCAACTTGTTCTTGCCAAGGACGACTGCAACTACAGTAAATAACCTCCGAAGTGTTGCACGTCACTGCTGAGCTGAGCTACGAAAAGCAAATAGACTGAGAACAGAGAAGCACTGACAGTGTATTTTCAGTCATATCACCATGATTTTGGAGATTTAAAGCCACGGATTCAAATAACAAAAGCTTCGAGTTTTGGACATGATTTCTTTTTGAGTCGGGGTTTTGGAAAGTAGGATTCCTGAAATTTGTCTAATAAGAAAAAAGAAAATACAGCAGCTTCTATTTATTGGTCCTTCCTATGGGTCCTCGTTACTCCTTTTCAAGAGTGATAACCCGAGCTCAATGATTCCGGTTTTCAGCGAAGGAGAGGGTCTTTCACTCTCTGTTTTCATGGTTGTGGCCTGGGAGAATTGTCAACTCTATCCCTTGGCAGCATTGTAGTAAATTTTCTTGTTTTGGGTCTCTTAAAGATACAGTCCCAACTCATAAAGATCTGATTTTGACTAAGAAATCTTAAGTTGTTGGACAAAACCCCATAAATCTACCAGGCTACTATTACTTTATTCTCTCCTCTCTGCATTTTCCTTCTCTTTTTTTCTTTCTGTGACGGCTATCTAATTTTCCATATCGAACTAAAAACTGAGATTTTTAATGTGAACATGCGAAAAAACAGTGGAGTAGAGTTTTGGTTCTGTAATGCAAAAGGGCTTCCGTGAGAATGGTTTCTTTAATCACGGAATTCTGTTTTCAAGTTTTTCGAGATAAAATTTGATTTCTGGGCTTTAAAATAAACACAGGAAACCTCAAGCTAGATAGATGGAAACATAAAACAAAGAACAGTTTTTCGAGGCAACCAAAAGCCTTGAGCAACAGAGAGAGAGAAACGTGCTTTGATACACGACATAGAAGTAGGAAAAAGAAAGAAAAACTAAAAAAATGAAAAACTTACAGATTGCCTCCCGTATTCAAGGGGTAATCACACTTAACCCTCCAAACCCTGTTTTGCGACAAAAACACCCTTAAATTTCTGGGTTTCAACATTTTGCCCCTCTTAGTTTTTGAAGAACCTACTTTCTCGGGTTAAGTGCTCTTACCCATGTTTTTTTTTTTTTTTAATTTACTCGGATAAATATATTTTGTGAGGATATTTTTGACCAATTAATTTTTTTTTTCAATTACTATTTGGAAAATTCAACTTACCCAATTGGAACCACAATCCTATTTACCAACTTTCTCCTTCAAAATCCCAAAAACAAATTGAAAGCCTAAGTGTAAGTCCCACATAGTAAATCAATTTTCCATTAATAAGTTTTTTTGGAAATTTATTTGGAAAGGTCTTATTCATCTTTGAGGTAGATAAATTATTTTTCCATAAGAGGAAATTTGTCAAAATTAATGAGACAAAAATATTCATTCAACAAACTTTTTAAAACAAAAAGGTTTAAGAATAAATATGATAATAGAGAAAATTTATCAAAATAAATTTTAACAAAAAGAAAAACATAGCTAATATAGGTTGATACAACGTACCAAAAAACGAACAGGATTTCAAGGTAAATTTACTAAATTGTAAATTCTAGAACTCATAGACTACAGCTATTATCAAAATGACAGAAATGAGGACATTAAAGCATAGTATCTATTTTGGAATGGGTGGTTGTGTTTCCAAACCCTTATCCAAGAAGATAAAAGAGTTCATCATTGAGGATTTGGAAGCACAACGACGTAGTCCAAAAGAGACATTGTGCATTAACATGTCCATTTTCATCATTTTAATGGTTTTTATTTTCAGCCCATTGAATCTTGAATGGGAGTTCTAGTAGTTTGATCTCCATGCACGGTTAATCCTGTGCATAGAGTAAGTGGTAAAGTGCTGAAGTCCAGAAGTTCATTCAGGTGATGTTTGTCACAAAGCAAAGTTGAGGGGCTTAGTGTCCAAGGCCCAGTTTTGTTCGTGGGAATAAGGGTCTGGAATCGGAATTGGAATGCGCTAATCCGATTTCAACTTTTTGGCTGGATGGAAGTAGAATCCCATTCTCTATCCTTTTCTATTGGGAATGAAATCTCATTCCTGCTGATTTTAATTCCTATTCTCATTCCTGTCTGAATCAAATAGACTGTGGGAATGGACCATTGTGATTCCGGTTCTGGAGGATTTTAATTCCAATTCTGATTTCGATTCCAAACAGATAACCAAACGGACCCTAAGTGGATGAAAGTTTATAATTTATCCCAAAATATATGCAGTCTCTCTCTCTCTCTCTGAGTTGCACATGATGATTAGAGGATTTTTTACCAATAATTAGGGTATCAATGGATCAATTTTGATTGGACCTGTCCAAATCAAAATCAATATAGACAAATTTGATGTCCTAATAGGACATTGAATTCTGTTTGGACCCCTACACCTATTGGCTTTACCAAGTTGAACTTAGCACTTGGATAAAGAGAAGTGCAAACTCCTTTGCAGATGGGTTAGCTAGAGAAGGGATGAATAGGAGCTCTGTTTTTTGGGCTCATCAGTAATTTTCTTTCTTTTTTTTTTTGTATTTTGGCTATAGTGGCATTTGTAGGGAGTTAAGGTGCTTTAGCTCTAGTTGAATGTTTTTTAACTCTTAATCAATTAATGAAATCTCCGTTATTGATCAGAAAAAAAAAATAAGACATTGAATTGGACTAATCCAGACTTAATGGTACAAGGTATTTATTGGATAAGATTGAACCTATTAACTGTAATGGATTAATATTTGGTCCATTGGTAGAAGATATATAGGGGTGCAAGTTGGGCAGATTGTGCCGGGTTTATGGTCAACCTAGGCCCAACCCTAAGATTTGGGCCTAAGGCTTAAGTCTGGACCAAACCCAAGGTTAAGCTTGATCTTTGCAACCCGAGCCCAACCTATACTATATTATAATTTGATGCACTCAAGTTGGGTTCAGTCTCGGGCTGGGTTCGTGTTGATCAATGAACACATTCTAAAATTACAAGCCAATCAAGGATAGATGGGATTTTCTGCCCATGAGACCCTACCCACAACACCTTTCAACATGATATACAACCACACATGCCCAACATGTTTTGTATTTTTTTCTATGTTATTGTTGATGAGTTATATATGCCGCTATAGATTATGTTAAAATCTGTCTAGGTCGCAAATCTAGACTCACTCAAGGATCGTCGGCTTTCAAATGTAGTGACGAGTAGAGAGTAATAAAACAACACAATAAAGATGCATGAAAAGTATGGTTTTTAAAATCGGATCAGACTGGATGGTCAGACTGGAAAAATCGGGAACCGGTTAAGTTATCGGTTCCGTTTTACCTAAGAACCAATTATTTTATCAAAAACTGTTGATTTGGTCAGCAAATAATTGACTTGAGTGGTCGAACTGTTTGAACCATCCAACGGTTTAGTCATTTTTTATTTATTTGTTATAACAAACCATCCATTCGATTCGAATAATTGAACCATTCGACCCAAAAATTGGACCCCTGATCGGTTCATTGTCTAATTCGGTTTTAAAAACCTTGATGAAAAGAGAACCGCAGGACTCAGAGAAAAAATCCACACTTCTCTCTTAAGTCTTGATTAGCTGCACTTACGGCTATATTTGGGGCTGTTTACATATGCACTGTTTACATAAGCACCAACCAAGAGTTCTCCAACCACTCCATAAACTCATCTCTCACTGTTCCATGGAATGACAAAAAGAAAATGCAACAAAGTTCACATGCTCCCCCCCCAGTAAAGGCTGAGGGAGACAACAAATGAAAGCCTCCACCTGGTTTTTCTGTTTGATTTAACTCACTTTCGAAGAAAAAAGTAAGGAATAGTAGACTGTAATCCACCTCAGAAATCTGAAATTATAATTCCCTTCTAGTCTATTAGTAGCTCTCCATATAAACAATGTGGGCCAGAATTCATTCTACTTGTACGGTGAGGTTTAGATTTCTGGGGTGAACTGAACTATAAAAGTTTGTTGGTCTGTTTTACCTGATCTTCCGGCAGATACCCATCAACAAGGCTATATCCCCACACAAAAATGCAGTGGCGGAGCTAGGAATTTACTCTTGGGGGCTAAGTAAACAATAAAATGAGCAGTAGAAGAGGTAAGCTGTATAAGAAAATGGGGTGGAAGGCTTGGGTCTATTATAGATCTTTTAAAGAAAAAAAAAATAAAAAAATTTAATTTTGAGAGTTGGAGGAGTATTAAAGAATGATTTCTTAACATTTTGGTTCAAGTATTGAATGAGCCAAGGACCCACTTTATTACATTTATGACCTTACCTCTACTTAGTAACCATATATAAATATTGATTTAACAAAAAAATTTATATACTTGGCTCTACCCCTGCATAAATATGTACGGGGAACAGAGATGGGGAAGAGCAGAGTATATATTAAGTTTATTGGTCATTTATATCTATATATTAAATCGAAATGTGCCAAGAGCCTACTTGTTCTCATGTTTGATCTTGCATATTTGCATCTCCTAAATGGAAGGAATGTCATTTTAGATTGGATTAATTAACTGAATTCAATGGTCGTGAATGGCTGTGAAACGAATAACAACACCCCACACCAATCATTAAATTCAATGCTGCCTTGTTGGTATGTTAGATGGTTTGTTTTAGCATTGACACAAAATTGAATCCCACAATCAGCACTTAAGGCCACATTTGTTTGGGGTGGAAAATCAAACCAGGGTAAACTCTAAATCTTGGTTCGATTTTACACATGTTTGAAAATAGTGTAATTTTACACCATAATGGTGTAAAATTCATTTTTTTTTTTATTTTTTTACATCAATAATCGATGTAAAATATACATTGAAATTATCGGTGTAAAATTAACATCTCTTTTTTGTCGTTTTTCTCTTACTGGTGTCGATGCATCTCCGTCAAACATCCAGAAGGAAAACCAACAGCAGCAGTGGCAGTATGAGATTTCTCTCTCCCAGGGTGGCAGCAGCAAAACCAAGTTGCAGTGGCAGTATGAGATTTCTCTCTCTCTCTCCCCCCCTTTTGTTTTCTCTGTTTCGTCACCACCACTGCAACCAATTGCAGCAGCAAATCTGTGAATCCACCTCTGACCTTTCTCTCTCCATTTGTCTCTCTTTCGTTCTCTCTCTCTCTTCTCCTCCTCCTTTTTTTTCTTTTTCTTCCTCTGTGTCAACTATAGTAGCTCCCATCTCACTAACAACCAAACATAATTAATATAAATTTTCATAATCTACTGATCCCAATTTTCATCAACAATTAAATCGATTCACATTTTCCACCGGTATAAAACTAAATTTACATATAAAACAAATGCAGCATAAAAAGATAAAAAGGGTCAAAAACCAAAAGTTATTAATGGTACATGACATGCATCAAATACCAAAAAAATACATCCTCTAAGCCACAACCACCACCCCCTTTCTCTCCCCCACTTGATATTTATGACTGGCCGTGCCGCCAGTATTGTCGTTGATTTCACAGCCGACTTTAAGTTATCGCATTCAACTAATCCGAATTGGCCTCTAAATGGGCTCTTAATGAACTTATTTTTCTACCTCTTTTTTTTCTTTTTCTATGCACATCGATTGGATCAAATTTGCACATTATAATATATTTTTTGTCAGGTTTTGTCAAAAGGTTGTGCCCAAATCAAATTCCTTGTTTATCCTCTCGGGCCTGGACAGCAACGTTTGTCTCTTAATGTTAGTGCAACTTTTGACCAAGGATGTGCCTATATCACCTTTTTCCCATCATTTTGGCTCTTCATCTTGTATTATTGATTGCATTCAGAATATATGAAAACTTGAATGAGTATTGCTGCAGTGGTTGGCAAGGTTTTTAAAATTAGACCGAATAGAAAACC